TCTGTCAGCGCCATTTTTCCAACAACATTTGCTCACTTTATCTCTGCATCACATTTAGGTAATTCTTGCAATATTTCAAAATTCTTCATTATTATTACATTTGTTGTGATCTGTGATCAGTGATCTTTGAAATTAGTACTGCGATTGTTTTGGGGCACTAAAAATCGCAACTATTTAAGACAGGTGAACTTAACTGACAGGTGTTGTGTGTGTTCTGACTGTGCCACTGATCAGCCGTTCCCTTGTTCCCCCATCTCTCTCATTCTCCTTGGTCCTCCCTACTCCCTGAAAAACAACAATCTTGAAATTAGGCCAGTTAGTAACCATACACTGGCCTCTAAGTGTTCAAGTGAAAGGACAAGTTGCATGTCTCTATGTCTCTCACTTTAGATCAAAAGCTGGAAATGATTAAGCTCAGTGAGGAAGGCATGTCAAAAGCTGAGATAGGCTGAAAGCTAGGCTTCTTGCAGCAGTTAGACAAGTTGTAAATGCAAAGGAAAAGTTCTTGAAGGAAATTAAAAGTGCTATTCCAGTGAACACACGAATGACAGTGAAGTGAAGCCTCTTTATTGCTGATACAGAGAAAGTTTGAGTGGTGAGGATAGAAGATCCCGTCACTCACATCATTCCCTTAAGCCAAAGCCTAATCCAGAGCAAGGCCCTGACTCTCTTCAGTTCTTTGAAGGCTGAGAGAGGTGAGAAAGCTGTAGAAGCAAGAGTGTGGAGCTAGCAGAGGTTGGTTCACAAGATGTAAGGAAAGAAGTCATCTTCTTAACATGAAAGTGCAAGGTGAAGCAGCAAGTGCTGTTGTAGAAGCTGCAGCAAGTTATCCAGAAGGTCTAGCTCAGATAATTAATGAAGATGGCTTCACTGAACAACAGATTTTCAGTGTAGATGAAACAGCCTTATATTGAAAGAAGATGCCATCTAGTACTTTCATAGCAAGAGAGAAGTAGTCAATGCCTGGTTTCAAAGTTTCAAAGGACAGGCTGACTCTCATGTTAGAGGCTAATGCAGCTGGTGACTTGAAGCCAATGCTTACCATTCTGAAAATCCTAAGGCCCCTAAGAATTATGCTGTATCTATTCTACGTGTGCTCTATGAATGAAACAGCAAAGTCTGGTCAACAGCATATCTGTTTACAACATGGTTAACATAGTATTTTAAGCCCATTACAGAGATCTAGTGCTCAATAAAAGATTCCTTTCAAAATAGCATTACTGCTCATTGACGGTGTACCTTTTCACCCACGAGCTCTGATGGAGATGTACAGTGAGATTAGTATTATTTTCATGCCTGCTAACAGAGCATCCATTCTTTCAGCCCATGGTCAAGGAATAATTTCAACTTTCAAGTCTTCTTACTTAAATATATTTCTTAAGGCTATATGTAGCTGCCATAGATAGTGATTCCTCTGATGGGTCTGGGAAAAGTCAATTGAAAATCTTCTGGGAAGTATTCATCATTCTAGATGCCATGAAGAGCATCTGTGATTCATGGAAAGTTGTAAAAATAACACCATCAACAGAAGTTTGGAAGAACTTGATTCCAACCCTCAGGGATGACTTTGAGGGATTTAAGACTTTAGTGGAGAATGTAATTGCAGATGTGATGGAAATAGCAAGAGACCTAGAATTAGAAGTGGAGCCTGAAGATGTAACTGAACTGCTGCAACCTCATGATAAAACTTTAATGGGTCAGTTGCTTATGGATGAGCTAAGTAAAGTGGTTTCTTGAGATGGAAACTACTCTTGGTGAAGATACTGTGAATATTGTTGAAATGACAACAGAGTATTTAGAATATTGTATAAACTTAATTGACAAAGCGGTGGCAGAGTTTAAGAGAATTGACTCCAATTTTGAAATAAGTTCTGTTGTGGATAAAATACTGTCAAATAGCATTGTATGCTACGGAGAAATCATTTGTGAAAAGAAGAGTCAATCTATGTGGCAAGCTTCACTACTTCCTTTTTTTAAGAAATTGCCACAGCTACCCCAGCCTTCAGCAACTACCACTCTGATCAGTCAGCAGTCATCAGCATTGAGGCAAGACTCCACCAGCCAAAAGATTTTGACTTGCTGAAGGCTCAGATGGTGGTTAGCATTTTTTGGTAATAAAGTATTTTTTTAACATTTTTTATTGATTTATAATCATTTTACAATGTTGTGTCAAATTCCA